GAGTGAAGGTTTTGGTTACAACTTGGGTAAAGATTTCAAGGCCATAACCTCTAAGAGGGCTTGACTGGAGGGAAGAGCAAGCGAAGAGCCCCTCTTCCCCCATCGAAGACTGGGGTGCTCCTCTGGCAGAACCTAGTCTTCACAAGAGCGGCTCCCTTCTCACAGGAGAGGAAGGTGCAGCAGCCTCCACGATGACCCTCCCCTTCCCCTAGTCTATCCCCATAAGTCATGATTTAAGAAAAATAGCTCAGTGGTTCTAGAAAATCAAGCTGGGGGGCTGGAGAGATGGCTCGGTGGTTAAGAGCATTGCCTGCTCTTCCAAAGGTCCTGAGTTCAATTCCCAGCAACCATATGGTGGCTCACAACCATCTGTAATGAGGCCTGGTGCCCTCTTCTGGCCTGCAGACATACACACGGACAGAATATTGTATACATAATAAATAAATAAATAAATATTTAAAAAAAAAGAAAATCAAGCTGGGCAGCGGAGGGATCTCTTCGTTGGAATACTCCAAAGCTGCCCTGATGATCTCCTTACCTAATGAGGACCCCAAGGAAGCTCTCAAAGCTAGAGAAAGCACAGGAGAGATCCTGGTTAACTTTTCAGAGACCAGATGACAGATGTCATATTTGGAAGGCACTCCTTGGATCTCTGGGTTGGAGAGTAGTAACCGCCACCCACCCCAACCCCATTTCTGTTGTTCCTAAGCCAGCTTGCCTCCTTCTCACTCAAAAAAAAAAAAAAATCGTGTGTGTTTCCTGCATGTATGTATGCACACACCTGGTGCCTGCAGAGGCCAGAAAATGACACCAGATCCTTTGGAGCGGGAGTTACAGAAGGTTATGAGCCATAATGTGAGTGCTGACAACAGAATCCAGGTCCTCTGCAAGTGCTCTTAACTTCTAAAATATCCCCCAGGCCCTTCGAGTTCCCTTGAGCCCAGGCCAGCTCAGCCCAGTTCAACCCAGCACAGCACAGCACAGAAGGCAGCACCACACAACACAGCACAGCACAGCCCAACACCACACAACACAGCCCAGCACAGCCCAACACCATACAACACAGCACAGCACAGCAGAGATCTTACACCTGCGGTGGGCATCAGAATACTGGATGTTGCTTCTTTTTACACAGCATTAGAGGCTTGGTCCCCAAGTTTTTTTTTCTAAGTCCAAAACACTAAATCAAAATAATTTCTGTGTGCTAAGGATTTTAAAGATGATCAGACTGTCACAGCACCTCGTCATGGACGATCAAAGTTGCTGACACAGCAAAGTAGGGAGTTATATGAGGCAGGCTTCTGCTCTCTCTCTCTCTCTCTCTCTCTCTCTCTCTCTCGTGTGTGTGTGTGTGTGTGTGTGTGTGTGTGTGTGTGTGTGTGTGTGTGCATGTGAAGGGATTTGCACCATTACACATCCTGAAAGTGGTAAAACTAGGTCACAAGCTCGCAGGTTTCTGAGCTGTATTCAAGGGCTCCTTCTGCTCTGAAAGGTAAGAGAAATGATAACTAAACGGGGGCACAAAACTTTCCTGGGATCCCCTCTTTCTCAGGGTCTGTTACAGAGTGACTGTTCGTTTCTGGAATGCTTTAGTGCTAATATGGAAACATCAGGTGGGGAGAGGCATATCTAGACCCTCAGAAGCTGAATATTCTGACTTAGCCCACCTAGCATCTGATATAGCATGGGTTCAGTGAGTAGCTGTGAAATGAATCATGGATGGCAATGAGAGCTGGAACTGTGTAATGTTAGAAGAAGCAGACTTAGTGCCCTAGGGAGATGTGAAGGGCTTTATGAGTAGGAAACAAGCAAGCTGAGGAGTACCTAGGTGTCCGCAGTTCTGGTTTGGGAATCATCTCCCTTACTTCCTAGCTTGCCAAGCTCCAAAAATTGAGAATTTCACTTAATTTGCCCAGTGAGCACTCCCTCCAGGTCTTTCGAAGACAGTGGAGGAAAAGAAGGGAGTTTCCCTCTGCCACACTGCTGCAAAGAGTAGAGGTTCCTCTGCTCCTCTGGGGTTGAGCCTGGGCTTGAGCCTCCACAGCTCTTTGAATTCTAACCAGTGGGATTAACGTGGTCCTTTGAGGCCCAACCAGGGGAAGCTTCACGAGGGCTGGGCTATGTCCTACCAGTCACTGGGCTCAGCCCACTGACAGCATGTTAGTTGCAGTGCAGAAGAGGCCATGGGAAGAAGACTAGATTGGTGGATATTAATCCACAGCTACAGGGGGAAAACCCTCTGGTTTAACCCGCATGGCCCCTACTCAAGATGAGTCAGAGAGGCAGCATGCTTTTTCCTCAGAAAGAGATGTTGGGACTTGAGGGAGAGACTCCCAAGGCCTTTGCAGAGAAGAGCTCAGAAATAAATACAGGGCCTTTTTGTGCCATGAGGCTCCTGTGTATTCAGTTTTGCCCTTATTGGTGCCAGTGCTTAGCGAAAATAATGCAGAGAGGTGGGTGTTTAGGAAGAGACCAGGATCGTGAGGTTTGGGCCACAGGATGCTGCAGAATCCCACCTCACACACACACACACACACACACACACACACACACACACACACACACGTCCAGATAGGAACTGGTGGTGCAAGCTTGGAAACGTTGGAGCTCAGCCCAGTTCCCCTTCCCCCCCAAGGGTAAAGCCACAGCGGCTGCCAGAGCCCTTTACCTCTCCAGCTCCAACTCCTACCCCTTGCTGTCTAGTTGGAAATGGGGTCCCCAGTGGTGGTAGAGCTAAAACCAAGCTCTTCACACTTCCCCAAACTGGCCACCAGTTGGTGTTCCTGAAGGCCTAGGCTGTGTGACCTAGAGACTGTGGAAGAGGGAAACAAACCTTTCACTTCAGTCTGGCAGGCCCCTGAAAAGGCAAGAGATTTGATAATACCTGCAGAAACTGAAATATCGACCTTAGCAGCGCGCTTAAATTTTTTTTTTCCCTCAAAGCTTTGGGCGTGTTTTGATGCACCCGATTTAGCTTAACTCTAAAAAAATAAATAAATAAATAAAAATAACCTTTTAAGAATGATCTCCTTCGGTAAGTGGCATTGAAACGGAGAGAGACACTACACTTGGTGCTTCTTATGACGACCAACAATTATAAAAATAGAGGAGATAAAGGGACACAGGCTGCCAATGACTTTCTACTAAGATCCCTTTCCTAACACGGGCAGGGCTGAATCATGTCTTCAGACAAGGTCTGCTTTCCTCCCGCGGTTCACTTGATCCGGGCGTAGCCTCCCCTCCCTGCGCTCTAGACACCTTAGACCCAAGAGCTGTCGACGTGGTCTGAGCTCATCTTGAGAGCGCCCCCCAGAGAAGTCCCTGAGAAAGGAGAGCCCAGAGCTCAGCTTTCCACTTGCCTTTAGCTACACAAGACACAGAGCACCTGCCCGCTTAAAGTCAGGGTTGCCTGCTCCAAAGCCACCGTGGGGGCCGTGCGAAAAATGCCGGCCCAGATAGGAGGCCCGCGGGTGCTCAGAACCTTCGCGATGGAGGTAGGTGGTGAGGAAAGCTAATGTTAGTAGAGTCGTTGGCTTTGTACTGAGGGACTAGAGAGCTCTCTCTCTCTTCAAGGAGAGGGTTGAGATCTTAAAAAGCAAATAAAACAACTTTCCATACTATAATTGCTATTAATGGAAAGGAGCCTACGCTGAATTAAGTAGTTCAAAACTGCTTCTTCATTATCGGGAAGTCCCTCACTACAAGGAGGGGAAAGAAAATGTGAAAACAAAAAACCAAAATCAAGAAGCCTCCTTGACTGGCCGCCGAAGTGTCTAGGAGGCACCTGCGGGGCCAGGAAGCGCTCCGCCCTCCCAGCCTCTAGCACGCCAAGGAAGCTCAAACAGCAGACAAACAAAGCAAAAACAAAAACAAACAACAACGAAAACGCTTAATTTCCAAGGAGAAAATCGGAGGTGGTTTCCAAATCCGTGTCACGCAGGGCTTGGCTGGGTAGCCCACTCAGCTGCTGATCCGGGCCTGGTAACAGCAATGAGGCTGACGCCCCCGGCCCCGCTAGGGAGCACAGCCCACAGCTCCCCCTTGCCAGGCGCCCAAGGACCCTCAAGGCGCGGGGCTCACACTTGAAGCCTGGGAACGCTCAGACAGGAAACCCACTTCCTCCTAAGCAGTTTCTTGCTAGCCGGATGAGAGGCGCCCAATTGAAGCAGAATGATCCTCATCTACTAATATCCAGCGTGGCCACAAAGCGACCGGCCATTTACGCCGCCACTTTAGACAAAGATATTTGGTTATTCCCGGGGAAGCGAGTGCACTTTTGCATGGCTGAGCTCCGGGAGGAGGCGAGCCTCAGCCCAGCCTCCCGCCCGCTGGGATGCGGGCGTCGAGATATTCGCCTCCTCCCGGACAGTGAGTTCCACCCGGGTTCAGACTCAGTCCCACTCTACAACGGACCCGCGGGCGCTCTCTCGGCTCCCTGCCCGGGCTCTCCCTGAAGCACCAGAAGGGAACGCAGCGGAGATCTGGGCTGGAGTGCTGGGACTGTCATGGTCTCGAAAAGTCAGCACCAGCCTCAGAAGCCGGAGTATCCAGGCCATGGGCAAGGGTCAGGGGCACCAGGTTTGTTCGAGATGGGACAACTTCAGTGGTGGACTCTCACGTTAATGCCAGCACCCTTGTCCTCCCAGCTCAGAAGGCCGGCGGTGTTCTTGCCTGGGCCGGCAAAAGGGGTGGAGAAAGGGAGCGGTGGGGTGGGGTGGGCTGTGGGGCTGGTCCGCTAAGAAGCCAGGAGCTATGGGTGGGGGGGGGGGGCGCGGGGATCGGTGACAGCCTCCCGGAGGCAGTCGTTCCCTCCGCCCGCTAGGATTCTCTCGGGTAAGGGGAAAGGGGGCGGGGAGCAGAGGTGTCCCTCTGACAGCGGCAGAAGAGGCGGACAGACTGACAGACTCATAGACCAACAGTGCAGCCCCCGGGTTCATCCCCCACCCCCCAGACTCGCACACTCTTTTGGTGGTGACTGGGGCTCAGCGCCGCGAAGCCCGATGTGGTCCGGAGGCGGTGGGAAGGCGCGGGGCTGGGAGGCCGCAGCGGGAGGGAGGAGCAGCCCCGTCAGGCTCAGGTGAAACCCCGCTCCCCGTACCTCAGCCTCCTCTCCCCGCAAAGACCAGCCCCTGACCCGGGAACCCCGACCGAACTGGACCAAGGGTTCCACTTTGTAACTCCTCAAGTTGGTTGCAAAGCAGCATTCACCTTCCTTCCTCCTTTCCATCCCTCCTCTTAGGTTACTCTCTACCCCACCTCTGGACCTCCGCTTTGCTCTCGGTTCCCTCCTCCTTTCCCTCCCCCGCCTTTTCCTCGCGCGCCACAGGCACCCCACAAAAATGGGAGTGGGGGTGTCCAAGGGAGGGGGGAAGTAATGCTTTGGGTCTCTCTCTCTCTCTCTCTCTCTCTCTCTCTCTCTCTCTCTCTCTCTCTCCTTTCTCTCTTTGAGACCTAAAAATCCTGACAAGTGAAGCTTAAAGGTGTTTACCTTGTCATCAGCATGTAAGCTAATTATCTCGGGCAAGATGTAGGCTTCTATTGTCTTGTTGCTTTAGCGCTTATGCCCCGCCTCTGGTGGCTGCCTAAAACCTGGCGCCGGGCTAAAACAAACGCGAGGCAGCCCCCGAGCCTCCACTCAAGCCAATTAAGGCGGACTCGGTCCACTCCGTTACGTGTACATCCAACAAGATCGGCGTTAAGGTAACACCAGAATATTTGGCAAAGGGAGAAAAAAAAAAGTAGCGAGGCTTCGCCTTCCCCCTCTCCCTTTTTTTTTCCTCCTCTTCCTTCCTCCTCCAGCCGACGCCGAATCATGTCGATGAGTCCAAAGCACACGACTCCGTTCTCAGTGTCTGACATCTTGAGTCCCCTGGAGGAAAGCTACAAGAAAGTGGGCATGGAGGGCGGCGGCCTCGGGGCTCCGCTCGCAGCTTACAGACAGGGCCAGGCGGCCCCGCCGGCCGCGGCCATGCAGCAGCACGCCGTGGGGCACCACGGCGCCGTCACCGCCGCCTACCACATGACGGCGGCGGGGGTGCCCCAGCTCTCGCACTCCGCTGTTGGGGGCTACTGCAACGGCAACCTGGGCAACATGAGCGAGCTGCCTCCTTACCAGGACACCATGCGGAACAGCGCTTCGGGCCCCGGATGGTACGGCGCCAACCCAGACCCGCGCTTCCCGGCCAGTAAGTGAGGCCGCCCCGCCGCGGGGCCGCGGGCAGAGCACAGGAGGCGCGGTCACTGCGGCCCGCGAGGTGCGGAGCTCGCCGTTATGCTAGGCATGGGGTGGGCAGCCGGGCAGCATCATCTAGGAGTGGGGTGCGGGAGCTGGACCTTCTTCCCCCCGCTGGGCTAGGGTTTCAAAAGAGGTTCCTAGTAGAGCTGGGGTCCTGCGGATAGGTGCTGGCACTCAGCAACCGCAAGTGCCAACTATTGACTTGGCGCTGAAGACTTCAGGGTGCCATGGGAGGCCCACCCTGAGCTGAGAGCTCGGGTCAGCAGAGTTGGAGGGAAGCAGGCCCGGCCAAGAGAGAGGCCGTCCTGCTAGGATGCATCCCAGCGCCAGCCTGGTTGCCTAGCTTTCTAGAAGTCTCTGGGCGGGTTGAGAGGGCGCACAGCTCAGCTAAATGGGCTGAACGAGCAGGTGTCCTCACCTAGAGCTCACGAGAGTGAAGACTCGAGGCCAAGCGTCTGTAAGTTGGGGCTTTAGAAAGGGAAAACTCCCTTTTGCTACCCCCCTGAAGTTGGGGTCTACCGCCTGTTCCCAGCTCTTTGCGCCCCCCACCCCGGGCTTCTCACCCGGCTTGAGCACGAAAGGAGCAGAAGCAACCCCCCCCACACACACACTGTACATTCTGGTTCTAAAGAGACACTAACACCGACGGAAAGTAGTTAGGCTTGAAACCCATAAACTCTTCGACGGCCCGGCCCGGGTAAGGCACTAGCCTCTCCCCAGCTAGATGGGCCAAGGTGAGGATGCCATCGAAGGTTGGGGCCGGCGGGCCAAGGGCAAGAAAAGCAGGCTTGGCCCGGCCCCGGCCCCAGCCGACGCTGTGCGTTTGTCGCTTACAGTCTCCCGCTTCATGGGTCCTGCGAGCGGCATGAATATGAGCGGCATGGGCGGCCTGGGCTCGCTGGGGGACGTGAGCAAGAACATGGCCCCGCTGCCTAGTGCGCCCCGCCGGAAGCGCCGGGTGCTCTTCTCCCAGGCGCAGGTGTACGAGCTCGAGAGACGCTTCAAGCAACAAAAGTACCTGTCGGCTCCGGAGCGCGAGCACCTGGCCAGCATGATCCACCTGACACCCACGCAGGTCAAGATCTGGTTCCAGAACCATCGCTACAAGATGAAGCGCCAGGCCAAGGACAAGGCAGCGCAGCAGCAACTGCAGCAGGACAGCGGTGGCGGCGGCGGAGGCGGAGGGGGCGCGGGTTGCCCACAACAGCAGCAAGCTCAGCAGCAGTCACCGCGCCGGGTGGCCGTGCCGGTCCTAGTCAAAGACGGCAAACCCTGCCAAGCGGGAGCCTCTGCGCCGGGCGCCGCCAGCCTGCAAGGCCACGCGCAGCAGCAAGCTCAGCAGCAAGCACAGGCGGCTCAGGCGGCTGCCGCGGCCATCTCCGTGGGCAGCGGAGGCGCGGGTCTAGGCGCACACCCAGGCCACCAGCCGGGCAGCGCAGGCCAGTCCCCGGACCTGGCGCATCATGCAGCCAGCCCCGCAGCGTTGCAGGGCCAGGTCTCCAGCCTATCCCATCTGAACTCCTCGAGCTCGGACTATGGCGCCATGTCCTGCTCTACCTTGCTTTATGGTCGGACCTGGTGAGACGTGGGACCCGCCAGAGCCCCGCGCGGCCTCACAGCTTCACCTCTGCCCGCTGCAGACCACCTTTCGCCCAATGCTCCACGTGCTTCGACTTTTCTTAAGAACCTGTTTGTGTTTAGACCAAGGAAAAAGTACACAAAGACCAAACTGCTGGACGCCTTCTTCTTCTTCTTCTTCTTCTTCTTCTTCTTCTTCTTCTTCTTCTTCTTCTTCCTTTCTTCTTTCTTCTCTTCATCTTCTTCCTTCTCCTTCGTCTTCTCCTCCCTCCTCCTTTTCTTCTTTTCCTCTTTCTCCTCTCCTACTCTTCTTTCTTCCTCCCTCCTCCCTCCTTCCTTTTCTCTTTCCTACCTAAAACTTGTGGATTATTTTTTAACATAAAAAGAAAATAGAAATAGCCAAGCAAACTCAGCCCCTTACGGATTTTTTAAACAGAGAAGGACGTAGAACAAACAGGAGAAGTCTTTCTGGTGGTTCAAAGGATTCCCAAGCTTGGGCACGGCACAGTTTTGGAGCCTGCTCTATGCTACCATGGCCCTGGACTCTAAAGACGGCAAACTTCCCTCTGGATGCACCCTGCCAGCGAAGCGGACTTGCTAGTAAATACCAGATTTTTCTTTACCCAGAAGGAAGAAGACAGACAGGAGCTGGCTAGGGGAAAGATTCTTCTGCATATCCCACTTGTACCTGACACAAAGGAAGTGCCCCCTCCCGGGCTGCCCTCTGGCCCTATAGGTTCAGTCCAGGCCAGGCTGGTCCCTCAGAAATTGTTTTAGGTTTGATGTGAACATGTAGCTGTAAAATGCTGTCAAAAGTTGGACTAAATGCCTAGTTTTTAGTAATCTGTACATTATGTTGTAAAAAGAAGCCCAGTCCCGGCCCCCGGCCCCTCACTTTTTAAAAAGGGCATTGACAAACCTGTGTATATTATTTGGCAGTTTGGTACTTGCAGCATCAGGTTTTTTTTTTCTGTTGTAACTTATGTAGATATTCGGCTTAAATATAGTTCCTAAGAAGCTTCTAATAAATTATACGAATTAAAAAGACGCCTTTTCTGATTAAAACCCTTTCTTTTTGTTTGGTTTTGATTTGGCTGTGCATGGACTGGGGATGGGGGTAGGGGCTCACCACTAAGCATGATGGGATCCCAATTATTGGGTTTGAGCTCAGGGATTCTGACCCAGGTAAAAAAAAAAAAAGCCAATTCCGGAGTTTCTATCCCACCAAAGAGGGGATTTTGTTCAGCTTTGAACTTCAGTGGAATAAAATTCTGAGCAGTCTTGGGACTATTACATAGAGAGGATGAGAGGATGCAAAGTAAACTAGTTCTGTAGAAGGGGGAGGTAGAGGGAGAGAAGGGGGGGAGAGAAAAAACAATGGCCTTTTTTTTTTTTTTTAAGAATCAACCTTCTGGTTTTTTAAGAGCTTCAGAAGCTGGTCTTACACATCTGACCTAATATTTAAAATGGTGGACCAAGCCAGTCATTTGAAAGAAGCCTGAAGGAGCTATCATTTTTAGTGAATGAATTGCTTCTGTACATTTGAATGCCAAACCTATAGTTGTAGCTCCCACCTAGTCTCCTCACACTTAGAATCTGTGTGGTGCCTGTGTCCAAGGGTGAAGTGGTTCTGACTTTATTTGGACAGTCTAAAACAGGATCCCTCCCCGCTACCTCCTCCCCATCCCATCCCAGTGGATCCTCTTATGGCGGTGTGGACTTGGTGGCCAAGTTAGGGATCCCTTTAGTAGGACATTGGGACCTGCCATTTCACTCTTGTATCTCAGTGCTTTCAACATCTGGGGTCTTAAATCTTTGCAGCAATGAATCCCTCTCCTTCTCCTAACTTTTTATCATTTCCCCCCAAACAGAACCAAGATAATCTTAAACTCTCTCCCCCCCACACACACTGTGAGTGTTTTCTTCTTTCCATTATCAGATAGTGTTCTAGGAGAAACAAGTCAGGTTGTGACAGGTGTGAGCGGTAGTGGTAAAAGACTGGTTCGGGACAGAAACTACAGCTCCTTGGATGAACTGTTGCTTTTTATGAGTTTTCCCTGACAAGCCTGTGCAGACAAGGCGGCCCGTGAGCTGTCCATAGGCAACCCTAGCAGCCCTGGGTGCCCCTGATGCTTGCAACGGTTTGTGGTGGTGACTAGTTGACTTTTGGCACGTGTTCTGTTCATTTTTTTACTCAGGTGTTCAATTACTCCCCCCCCCTTTCTCGCCTCCCCTTTTCCCTCCTTTCTTCCTCTTCTCCCTGTCATAGCCTCTAACAACTTTTCCTGGTTCTCCACTCCATCAATCTCCCAGGATCTTATTTTTAGAAAAATAATAGTATAAACTTGAATCCAGCAGTCTTTCTCACTGATGTCCAGGGGATTTCTGTTTTACAGTGCCTTAGGAATGGGAGCTAGAAGTAGCTTTCTTCCTCAGAAAACTAATCCTGGCTACTGGAATATGGCTTCTTGACATCTAATATTCTGAAAGGATAATTGGTTGAGTCTGCTGAGATTCTACGTGGGGAGAGGGTCCTCTCAGCAGACTTCATATTTTGCAAAAACAAAACCAGGGAAGTTTAATCATTTCTGTTTGATAGGCATCTGAGATTCCGGGACAAGGACGGCAGTGGTGACTGTCCAGAAAAGGCAGGTGTTGTCAGCTGCTGTTCTGCTCCTAAGTGGGGGTGTCGGGGAGATGAATTTAACTCCACCAGTTCCACTGGACAGTATAGGGCCAGGCAGAGCCTAGCCGGCTGCAGATACCACACTGCCCTGCCTCCCTACATTCTAGCAGAATAACAACTGGAGCCTACTGTAACACTCTCTGTCTTATCTTCCTTATGCTAGTTGGAGTATCTAACAAATACATCCTTCTCCAGCCGGCTTAGTTAGAAGCCTGTTTACTTGTCCCTGGAATAGGCGAATTCAGAGGGGGCTGGGAATGAGACCCAGCAAACAGGGCTTTGGCCCTTTCTTATCATCAATCTCTCTGATTCCTCCAACTCCTGCCTAGGAGACTTGTGGCAGCTGCTGAAGCAATCTGGGGAGGCAGACTGGGGTGTCTTTTTAGTAAACTAGGTGCTGGGTTCAAGGTGAGAGCTCCCCACAACTCGGGGACACCCCACTCCTACACAAGCTGTTTACCCGGTCAGCATCTGGAAGGGGGCACTTGCTTATTTTAGGCTTTCAATAACTCAGGCTCAAGTTGGTTCTGGCCTCCCAGGAGAAGAAATACGTATTCCGGAGATGCCCCTGGCACTGAGATGTTAGAAGAGGGAAAAACTTCACCAGTGAGCATATAGGACATTTGTCCTAGAAACTGTCCCCTGACAAGTATCTCACCCAACTCCAGGCCTTGATGGTTCAGGCAGTGGGGGTATTTTGCAGACAGCATCCTCAGCATTGCTCCTCTCCCCCACCCCACCCCAACCCTGCCATGTAAACACGAGGACTTTCTCGAGAGCCCTGGAGAGCCGCTCTAGTGGCGTCGGGGCCTGAAACCCCAGGCTTGGCTTGTTTGATGTTTAGCATCCCAAAGCGGCTCCCCACCCCCGCCCCAGCCTGGGAACCCCGAGCTGTGGGACCGAGGAGTAGGGGAAGCAGTTCTCTCAGCTGGCGGGCAGTGGACTGTGCTGGGCTCAGAGAAGAGGCGAAAACAACAGGACAGAGATGCCCTGAGCAGAGAAGGAAGGGATTCTGGAATGCTGTGGCATTGAATACAATTGGGGTCCTCATGGCCAGGGGGACAGAAATGTCCCAGCTCACGGGCATATACTATGGGTAGGGGGGGCAACCCGGTGGAAATAGCTTGGGGCCGGCGAGAGCTAGGTAAGCTGGGTCCGGGTCCATTTAGCGAGCATCAAGACAGCGTCCACGTCTTCGGGGCGATCAGGGCCTCGAGGAGACAGCGCTTCCTGCCACTGCTCAGGACTTGGTCTTTTATAGGGAAAGACTTGCTTGGGAGTCTTCCAAGAGCTTTTAAATGAGTCTGGACCTGGGAGCTCCAGTGACGATTCTTGGATGTGGCTTCATAGTCTTTGGTTTTAAAAGGCCAGGAAGATTCGCAGACTTTAAGAGGCCGCACGCCGCTCACGCTGCCGGGAGTCTGGGCGGCGGTGAGCGCTCCGCAGCGGATGCGTGAATCTCTTCTCAGGCGATCCCAGATAAGAGAAAATGAGAAAGAGGTTTCTGACTTCCAGCTCATTAGGGACCAGGTAAGGTCAATGCTTTCTCTATTATGTCTTTATCTTAAAAGCAGGTCAATTTAAGATAAGGGAAGGAAAAAAAATCCACAATCTGTGTGAACTGTGCTGATACAGGCTGACCCCTTTCCCGAGTTTAAGTAAGTCAGGCAGACATTCATTTCTATAAACGAGGGAGTTGAGGGACGCCGCCTTGAATCCTGATCCGAAGTCTCCAGTCTCTCTGGGCGTTGCTTCCCCGCCTCGCCTCCTCCCCATCCCTCCCCAGTTATTAGTGTGAAGCTGGGTGAACAGACAGTTTTATTAGTGGTGAATAGGAAGCCCGTTGGGAAATGTGGATCTGAGATAACATGATTCTTCCGCTGTTTGCTAGCTTGTTTCAAAAAACGAAGTGGCCTAAGGGTATTGGAAAGAATGGGGACTTTTTTCTTGCTGAGCCTGTTCAGAGATGCCTGAAATCACCTTCACCCAGCCCTCTCTATCTTACTGACTGGTGTGTGCTTCACTGTACGGTTGTGTTCCTGGGGCTTCAGCTCACCTTCGGTGGCAACCCAGTATGAAAACCTAGCTCAACAAAAAGTTTTCTGGTGCCTCTTCAAGTGAGGGGCTGTGCGGGAAGGTGTGGCCTCTTTCCAGCCACCCCGATGTCTCAGGAAATTGGTATGGTTGAAAGTAAAGTGTGCATTTTATTGAAGGGGTTGGTCAAAGATTGCATGGACCCTCACCCTTACCCCACATATTTGCATTTCTGAATTTTCTTTGATGGTGTCTTGAAGGAATGGAGGAAGAACTGGCTCAGT